CTCTTACCGACCTATATTTTGTGAATTTGTCGATGTTTTGACACGACCCCAAAGTTTTTAGGTTTAGTAAAAAGTATCTCGATCCCCAGAATGCGTTTAACTACCCAACATTAACAGCGACTTATAAATTAAGAAACAGGGTTTCACAATTATATTGATTAAATACTAATCATATATCTATTTTATATGATTTATATTAGTTTTATAATCGAAGGAGAAGCCATTCGAACATTTAAAAAAAATTATAAATTCGTCAGCAATCAGGCACAACGTGAAGATGTGCACTCCTGTACTACCTAACACTCTCTCACACAAAGTTAATTCAAATATAATTTCAAACGTTTAGTCAGTCGGGAAATAACGTAGACGTACTACCTACTACTGTTTGTGTCACGGTACGATGTACTACAAAAATATTTTTAACCTGTTTCGAAAGCAATTGAAATATTGAAAACCATGATTTATGTGATATTTTAAGATTTTATCAACTATATCGATCTGTGTTGTTTTTTTTTTTTGTTTTTTTTTTTTTGTTTTTGTCGACAATCATATTCTTTCACATTTCAGGAGCTAAAGTTTATGATGATTTGCTGATAATCACATGGAGAATCCCCACTTGTAATCTGATAAACAAACATTATTGTTGAGAAAAATGTATCCATATAGGTATTAAAAATCAACGAGCTTTTCAACCATTCCGATACTCTAAAGGTGTTGCCTAAAGCAATAAATAATTAAACAAAAAATCACATGACAGTAACATTGGTATGGCGAAACATCTCTATTCATTTAGAAAAATGCTTAATTGTTGATTGTTGTCACTTCCCTACAAAACTAAGCAATGTAAAAAGACTCTTACAGTTTACAGTTAGAATTTATTAAATATATTTCATATGTTTCTTCATTTAAGTATTGAAGTAGTCATGCCACCACTCTTTGTGCCAAAATATTGATCGTTGTCACTTCCCTACAAAACTAAGCAATGTAAAAAGACTCTTACATTCAGGGGTGTTGCGATCAGGTTGTTGGCTGATGGGTGTCTCTGGTGGGCGTTTCGTTCGACTGTTGCAGGAGAGAGACTTGTCATCTAGAGACTGATGTTCTTCCTGTCATAGAGAAAATAGAAATATTTTCTCTTTTAGTTTTAGGTAATTTGATTATCTTGTTGTTTTGATGTCTTACTTTTTTATTGTAATTTTTATATTTTTCTTGTTGTAAGGATGCACCACCCCTGTGGTTGAGTGCCATTGATTCAAAAGTGAATATCCAAATAAATTATTATAATTATTATTATGATGCACAGTACTACAAAAATGTCTTTGTGTTGTGTCTACTGGCCTTCATAATTAGATAGTGGGCCCGCCCACTGTTACAGTATATGCACACGTCCCTTATTTTTTTGTTTCATTATGGACAGCGCCACCAACGAGTGACTTTATTTTAAAAGAGCATAGAGCTAATAATTATATAATAAAGACCATAAAAAACATAGATGTGAGTACAGTAGTGAACAAACGACGTCATTCTACACTATTTTAATAGTGATTATAATTAAAGTTATGTCAACGCAATTTTCTAAAGCGTTGAATTTAGGTATTAGATACTGTATGTTCAATTACCGTAAAAAGGCATATCTTTGCTCTCAACTTAGGAGTTTACGCAAGGTTGGATAGCATGAAGGAATACGTTTTTATTCATGGATAAATCCACTTACCTTCACAGGGCGGGTTGTATGTAATAGTTTCTTTAGTCGACTCCATTGCAGCGCTAGTTTGATTCTCAATACCTTATGAGGTTGTTTTCCATGTGTGTTTTGACTTTGATTTTTTTTAACGTGTTTCCCCTTTATAATATAAACATAAGTTCTCATTATGTCATGTCTTTTCGATGCTACTTTTGCAAAGTAAAGAATGGGTGGTTTGCTTCTTTTCAAAAATGAGTGCTGTAAATTTTGGGAATTAGTACTGCAAAACATTAAATAGGGCACTTAACATCAATATGTATCATGGAGTGAATTAACCGGCATTAAATCACATAAACTACTGTATAAACCAAGTCTGTTTTAATCTATTTTGTTTCTTTGAAATTCATCTACAGTCTAGGCTTATGTACTGCACTATCTCGCAAAGATAGCGCCTATGATATCTTGAAAAGAAAACCATGGGCTTCTTTCGAGGCTAATTTTGCAAACAATTCCAGATGGGCTTTTTCTCGAGGAAGCCCATTGGGCTTCAATTAGAGGTTTTACGATATTCTGCATTAGAAATAGACATACCGGTATTAAATCTATAGGTAAACAGTGGCGGATCCATGAATTGAAAATAGAGTTGCACAATGAGCAGCGGTGGCTCCAGAAATGTGTCAACAGGTGGTCCGACGGGGGTGTCTGAGCCAAGGGGCTGACTAGAACCTCGGTCCTGGTACCGGAATAAAAAAAAAACTGGTAGGGTTCGTGGAGAGAGTTTTTATATTGGCTTGTTATGGCCCGAATTGCGCTTTAGATTTTATTTTCTATTCTAACACACTCTTATTCTTCTATTCCAACACACATTTCGATTTGATCGGTTCAGTAGGCCTTCCGATTCGAAAATTCGGATTTGGTTTTGGCAGATTGATCATTAGGCACGTTAAAGGTGCATTCACACCGAATTTGAATATTTATTTATGCTTTATTGTTCTTAACTACTACAAGTAACGAGACCGTAAAAAGCAGAGCTTGAAAACAAATTGATACGTTCTAAATATATAATAAACTTACATAAAACTTCTAATAAATAAATAAAAATAAAAGGCCAATTAGAGCAAAGTAATTTATTAAAATAAGCAGTTAATCTTAATCATCTTTAAAAGAAGGTTTGCCAGCAGTTTAAGAGATGTCATCTTGTAATTTCTGAAAGCTAACAATTTACAAATATTTCATTACACAAATAAAAATTTCCTTCTGCCAGTTGCACCTACTCTCCTTGCACCTACTTGTTAATTAGGCCTAATTTTGTTCCACTAAGGCTGGGAAAGTGGCCCACACACTTTTTCTACTGGGGGCCCCCCACTTTTGTGACTGTTACCAGCACCAGTGACAAACATTTTACGAACGCTGCAATGTCATTATTATTCTAGTTCTAAACCGCGAAGATGTATAGTAAGTGTAACTGAATGGCTTACAGTAAACCGTCAAACTAGCGTAATATAACCATATTTAAACTCTGATTTAACGAAAACAATACGATACTTATTAGGCCGCTTTTTTAAATAAAGTTGTCTGAAGGTTAACTACAGAATTTACAAAAAAAAAAAAAAAAAAACTGTATTGAGTAAAAAAAAAAATATTTCGAATAAAAAAATTGTTCGCTTGACATTAGGAATTAATCGTTTGTGAAACAAAATAGTAGGCTATGTCAAGTGTTCTATTAAACAGTGGCAGATTCAAGGGGAAACCCAGTCAGCACGGGACCCCATCCCATTTTTTTCAAAACTATTTTTTTTTAATGGAGAAAACAAACAAAACTTTTAATCTGTGAGTGCCATTTCCGGCCATCTAAAGGTGCCATAATCATATTTTTTCTTACCTCAGCCCCAAACAGTTGTGGGGCTGAGGCGGGTGGACATTCTATTTACGCAAGACTCTCCCTGGAACCCCTATATTTCGACTTCCTGGACCCATAACTGGAGTATCATTTCTGAGCTACATAGAAGGGTAATTTTTATCCATCGGGGGAAAAGTGAAGTTTTCGTCGGGGAACCCATATCAAGGATAACCCTCATAATAAATAATTCATTGAGGTCGTGGAAGCAATCTCGACTTCGACTTTGTTCGGAAATCTGTGGCACGTTCAAGGGGAGGGGGAAGCTAATTCAATTTTTTTTTAATGGAGATTTCCGGCCATCTAGAGGTGCCATAATCACAAATTTTCTTACCTCAGCCCCATCCACGGTGGGGCTGAGGTGGTATAGATTCTCCATCTGCTGAAGTACCCAGTGGCGGATTCAAGGGGACCCAGAC